CTCCCTCCCCCTTACCCCCTTCCTCTCTCTCTCTCTCTAGAATCAATGAAAAGCATTTCCTCAGGTGAGGACTTAAAAAAGAGCCATAACAGCCTTAACCCTACTCAAGTTTTGCCTCACCAGAAGGAACAGCTGTGTGCAAATTCATATAACACCTGGCTTTTTAAAGTTCCAGTTAGTCTAGGTTCCCCTCCAAGGAAAAGTGGAACTACCAATAACCACGATTCCTGAATGTCCCTGTTTGTTTAAAGGTTAACACCAGTCAGGCCTGGGTCAGAATTATAAATTGAGAGGATATGTAAAAAAATTAGTCTGATGATTGATTAGTGGGTCGTTTAACAACTACATATATTTTGTCTCCATAGGATGCTACAGATGAATTGGATGCCTTGCTTTTATCTCTAACTGAGAATCTAATTGACCACACAGCCACACCTCAGGTAAATATGCTTTAAAACAGCAAGATGGAAAGGAATTTTTGTTTTGAAAATGTTGCTGCTGGATTCCAATTTTTGCCTTTGTAACAATTTAGTAAACTTCATCTTTAATAAGAGTTCTTATTTCAGTAACACTTAGCACTGCATTCTGTACTATAAAATTCTACCAGTTTGGGTGTCACTGTACAGTGTCACTACTTTAAGCCTATTTGTAATTCAGCACCACACTATAACTAACACAGAGGAAACATGATAAACCAGCTTCAAAAGAGTTAAGACAATAAGAACATATTTAATTTTTAAAAAAATTTTACAGAAAGGTGGGAACATAATAATAGGTGGCATTGAACATATAGGTCATTATTGCAGTATGGGCGATGCGGTGTTAAGTACTGTGACCTAACACAGTAGTTCCTTCCCTCCAGAGAATTACAGCCTAGTTGGGTGACAGGTATACAGGTAACTCACTCAGCGCCTTATGGGTAAGGTGACGGGGATGGCTGCAGGAGCTAGGTGTCATTCCGAAGGCCCGGGACATGGTACTGTGTGTGGTGCTGGATGCTTGCTTGGATCAGTGGTTCTCAAACTTGGGCACATAAGGGAATCACCTGCAGCTGATTAAAACAGGCGGCTAGATTCCACCCTCAGAGGTTCCGATTTGGGAAGCGTGGGGTGGGGCCTGAGAAATTTTCTGGTTTTCTCTATTAGCTATAATTTTATATCTTTCACATTTAGATTTTAACCCATTTGGACAGTTTGAGTTGGGGGAAGGGGATGTCAGCTGTGGTTTTGATATAACCCAATTATGTATTTCATCTTATAAAAAGCCAATTTTCTGAATATTATCTACTAAATAATCCATCCTTTCCCAATTGGCTTGTTACTAATCTTTCTATTCTATTTCATTGAGTTCTCTCTTTTTTGTTTTTGTTGTTTAGTTTTTTTTATTGTGGTAAAGTTGGTATACAAGATTATATATATTTTAGGAATACAACATTATAATTCAATATTTGTATACAGTAGCCCCCCCTCCTTATCTGAAGTTTCAGTTGTCCACAGTTTGGGTCCCTCACAGTCAACCATGGTCCAAAAATATTAAATGGAAAATTCCAGGAATAAACAACTCATAAGGTTTAAATCACTCGCCATCCTGAGCAGCGTGATGAAATCTTGTGCCATGGCTCTCCGTCTGCCTGGGCTGTGACTCACCTCTATCCAGCATGTTCATTCCCACTGTTGCTGTGTCGCAGTGCTTCTGTTCAGAAGTTCATGTCAGCTAAGGGGACCGTTAAGAACTGCTCCCCCAGGGCATTTCATAGTAGAAAAAGCATGATGAGTGTAATTATGAAAATAAGTCAGTGTTCACCAAAAATAAATACATATGTGACATTTATTTTAGGTACCTCCAACATCCACGATCACACCCCGGTGGATTGTGCCAGTAAGTTAATATTTGCACTCTTTCCCTTGGTTACCCTTCCAGAGTGAGGCCTAAGGGATTCCCAGGCTCTTGCTTTCCCTTATAAAACAAGGGGTCCCTATCAAAGTTCTGCTAGCCGACTTAATGGCTTCAAACTAGCGATTTAACTTTTCTGTTTGTAAATGCTTACAAATAATGAAGAAACAAAAATAAAAATCTGAAAGGAAGGATGATTACAAACCATCAAACAAACCAAAACAACCCTGATCATCAAAATCACCTTTCTTATTACCATAATCCTTAGGGAAGATGACTTAGAGCTGAAATGGTGACTGTTGGTAAGCACTGTCACCTCTGCTCACACGTGTTGCATGTCTCCCTCAGCAGAGCAGTGTCCTTTCCAATGGACTCCCAGGAAATGGACGGTCCCTGGCGGGGAAGGAGGGCCCCGGTGGTAGAGACGCGATCTTGCTGATCTCTCCCCCTGCACCATTCTTGGTGGATGCTGTGACCAGGTGAGGAAATTTTGTCAGTTGCAGATTTTAGGTATCTGTTAGTAGGGGGAAAAAATTAAATATATTTAAAGCAGTAATGTTGGTTCTTCTTTAATTGAACTTAATTGAAACTGGATAAACCTTTTCTGTTTATTATTTAGACTAGTGGGATTTTTTCCTTTTTTCTTGTTAGTAGCAATTTTCTACAAAATTATGAAGTAGACCTTATTATGGTTTTTTAAATGAAGTCTTTGTTAAATAAAAGTGTTACAGGCTTATCTTTTAAAATTTGTATTTGTTTTTAAGTTGATTGGCCTTTCCTTTCATGCTCTGCCATGCGGTCCGTCGGTGAGGGGAAGAGGCACAGCTCAGGGTGAGGTGGGAGAGCCCCAGGCCGGCTCTGAGGGGGCCTTTGCCGACACCTGTTGTGCACTCATTTCAACACAACACTTGTCACGAAGGAAAAATGGACTCAAAAGAGCTTCTGTTTAGCACATAGTTCAACATTTAGTTGTTAGGGCCAAAACTGCTCATTTTGCAGAAGATTTAGAATTGCCTTCCTTTTCACCTGAGACTTTTCCTGATTATGTCTGGTGCTTCTCACGTCCTCCTCATGTTGAAAACGTGGGTCAGTTGAGGTAAATGGTTTCCTAAGTAGAGAGGAAAAATTATTAGAGATGATTAACTTAAGAGAAATTTAATAGGTTATTTTTTAAACATTTACATGCCTAGTAACTGCCACTATAAAAATAGAGATTGCATACAGAGGACCAGGCAATGATGCTTTGTGGTTGAGTTTGCCCATTGTAATGTGAGTTCTTAAGGACTTCCAAATTAAAAATTACAGGTGAGAAAGAGCTTGTCTCTGCTGCATCCCACAGCAAAGGGGCCATAAAGGAATCAGAGGGATAAGAATGACAAGTAACATGCCTGAAACTAATATAATGTCACATGTCAATTATAACTCAAAAAATGACAAGGAAGGAAGTCAGTGAAACAGAATAGAGTCCAGAAACAAGTCCACACAAATAGTTACCTGGTTTATGAAAAGGCGACGATTCGGTGCTGTGGGTAAGAATGGCCTTTCAGTTAATCAGCTGGACAAGTTAAATGTCCATGTGGGCCCTCATGCAGAGCCCATCTACTTTGTTTTTAATTTAATTTTTTATTAATCCTCACCTGAGGATATGTTTTTATTGATTGAGAGAGAAGGAGAGGGAGAAAAGCTATGTGAGAGAGAAACATTGATCGGTTGCCTGTCATACATGCCCCAACCGGGGATCGAACCCACAACCTAGGTATGTGCCCTGCCCGGGAATCGAACCTGCAGCTTTTGGCACACCGGACGATGTTCCAACCAGCTGGGCCAGCGGGCCGGCGCCAGGGCCGTATGCTTTTATTTTGCACACGGCTCTACTAACCGGTATAGAACTTAGCCAGCCACCTGAGACTGTCAGAAGCACAGAACAGCCCCCTGGGTGTTTCCTGAGCAGGTGCTGGCATGTTCAGCGCAGCACTGTTCCTGATGTTCATAATAATAACTCTGACTCTTTAAGAAATGGTTAAGTGTCTGGTTGATACATTTTATTCAAGGAAGTAGGGGAAATTGATATCTTTAGATTTCATTTCAAGATGAAATATGCATCAGTTATCTAGAAAATTCCCTTTTGTGGAATACTTCATTGCTAAATTAGGTATTACAACATCGTCATTTAGGTGTGTTATTTACTCCCCACATGCTCCGTGTGGTGCTCGTGGAGAAACGCGTGCTGTTTCTGTCTCAAAGGGTTTCGCTGAACAACCCATTCTTTCTTCCTTTTAGCTCTGCTTCAACTGTGGCCGAAGAACCCATGGGGAAGCAGAAGTGTTTACTGACAACTGAGCTCTAAGGGATGCCACCTCCTCGCCTGTGACTGGAATGCCGAGCTCTCTCCAGCAGCCTGTCTTGAAATCAGTTTCCACCAAGTTGGGTTGGATTCAGGAGCTTGCCCTGTACTTGGGTAAAAGAGTTTGCCTAGATTTGACTTCAGTTCCATGAAAAAGCAGCTACATTTTCCCTCCAACTGGAAGAGTTTAATTACACTGCATATTTTCTCAAATGAGGATATTTGGTCTTTTACTTTCTTTAATTTTATTGAAGTTTTAAATTCCTGGAACTAGGGAATTACTTTCCCTGTGGTGTTCCTCAAACTCTTGGCTCCACCTAGTGGTAGTAACTGTTCATGAAGCCTCAGTAACGAGGCCGTCTCTGGTAGTCAGTGTTATTTCTCTCCAGTGTCAGGTGAGTGGCCTTAACCTGTTAGAGAAATTGCACTTTTCTCTGCATAACCTGGAATTTAGGAAATTAATAGGACGTTATGTAGGTAGATGAAGTGCTAGCTTTTTTTGTGTTTTTTTTTTACAATAATTACAATACTAAAGAGAAGTGTAGAACACAGAGGGTTTTCAAATGTTGCCCATACTTTTGAATTCTTACTGGACTGGCTCTCTTAATACTCCAAGCTTACATCAGGGTAAGACAAGCCTGGAGAAGAGCTACAGAGAAGTCAGCTGCCTGTCGTTTTCAGTTCGGCCTTCCCACAGGAAGCAGTTGTGCACCACACACATTTTCTGTAACTGTTCAGCCTGGAAGGGCAGGGGTGGGGTAAACCCGGGGTGTTGCCTGCAGGCTCTACACCTCTTCCTGGGCCTGATGGGGTGCAGCCCACAGACTCGGGTAATGAAGGAGCAGCACAGCTCTCTCGGCTGTCACTGCTCCACGCAGGTACCTGTTGGGACATAGCCCCCATTTCCTTTCAATATAAGCTGAATAAATTCAGGGCTTGTAAACTGAAGAAAACAAAGCAAAAATCCCAGCACAGAAACAGGGATTCGGCGGGGGAGTTGTTTCTTGAACAAATTCCATGTCTGAAACTATATGCAACAGAGAGAGAACTCACACCCCACATTATGTTAGGAATTTCATGTTAGTTTTTAAAAGTTCTCTTGGATTTCCTCATCACTTTTGGTCTGTACAAAAATTTCTGGATGTTAAAGCAGTACATGTTCATTTAGAAAACAGAAAAACGTCTAAAAATAACCACCTGCAACTCCAACACTCAGAGCAACAGTTTAGCTGTAACCTTTGGAAGACATAGGTTAACCTCCGGTGCTGCTGGCATGAGACAGATGTGGAAACCCTGCTGGTAAAGGCGTCATTAGTCCCGCTGTCAGGGGTGATGGTAAACTATACCTCCTGGAATTTGTTTTGTAGTTTTCTGCCCTGTGATGTGCATGTAACTAAGTGCTCATTTGTGCTGCTCTGCATGGTCAGATCTTTAAAACACATGGTTGGGACTGTCCTGAGCTAAGGGAAACATACCAGCGTCTGACTGGAAAGCTCGGGAATTCTAATCTGCTGTTTCCCACTGAGCCCTAGAGATTGGAAACTGCTTTTGCACAAAACAGTTTTGCCCGAAGGAAAGAAAGTTGGCGCTTCTTGCTGGCTGCTTCCCCTTAGGCGTTGTGCTAGGCTTGTGGATTGCATTGGTGGGGCTCTTGCCAATTCTTAATTGTAAACAAGTTTTCTTGCAGCTGAAGTGACACCTAGATGGAGGGGCTTGCCCCAGGACATATTGACCTGGACTCAAAGTGTCCGCATCCTGACAGCCCTGCATGTACTCAGGTTCAAGTTGTGCCTCGGACCATGGACCAGTTAAGGCACTGCTAGCTGGGGAGGCCTGCAATTCCCATCCAGTTTGGAAAGTAGCACTGTCCTCATTTTCAACTTTCTAATATTTAAAGATTAAGTTGTTAAAAATATTCTATAGCATTTGTGTCTTCGGGTACCTGTATTCTTGCCAGTCTGAATATTGATAGGGATGTTCTTAAAATTCATGTGAAACTCAAGCTAAAAGGACATTTTGTCTCATGTCCTGACATGAAGTGTTAACATGAAATGAATACTTTAATGATGGATTCCCCTGACCGATTAGGTACCTGCCAACTAAACTTTCCTGTCACAGCTGCTGCTGGTGCCATCCCAGAGCTGCCAGAGAACGGAGGGGAAGACGGGCAGGGCTGAGGGTGCCTGTGACCTGTCAGAAGGGACTGGGGGAAGTCGACCTCTGAGGGAGAGAAGCAAGTGTGAGTCAGTGGAGGGCGCTAGCGGGGAGAGAGTGGAGACGGTGCTGGGTAAGAAGGCAGGCTGGTTCCATTGGAGTGGGAAGAGGGACAGCTGTGGTGGCCCTACGGGCTGGTGACCTCCAGGGCGCAGTACCTCATTCCAAAGGTTAAAATCCACCTGCACATCTGAATCGTCTGTAAACCGAATGAAGGCCGGGTCCTCAGATGTGGAGAAGAGCCCTACGTACTGTTCAAAACGACTGCGAGTTGGCAGGAGGTCTTTCCGTATAGATAAGGCTCCCGCGCAGTGCTACAGTATAGCTGGAAAGAAGTGATGGCAACGTTTAATTTCGCCAGGAGTAATGAGAACACCTTTGAAAAGAGCAAGAAAACAGTTTACGTGGGCCCCCAGCTAGAAAGCTCGTAGCATTCCCCCACTGGAAGGCCGCTTGGATGTGATTTAGAGCTGAGGTATCAGACCCAGGTGCAAAAAGTAACAGAAGGCTGCTCAGCTGCTCCCCGGCTACTTTCTCCCCAGAGTTTCCAGCACCAGGTTTACTCTGGTAACTCGGTAAAAATAGCTGTGGCAGAACTTGTGACTGTGAGCGGATTGAGGCGGGTGCTTGGAAGTGGTGGTACTTTGTCCCCTTGCCTTTGCCGCATTGTCTGTGAGGCGTTGCCATCATCACCTCTGACCGTTCGCTGTGTGCACTGTGCTGGGGACACTTACTCGGCGCCCTGCAGTAGCTGCCGGCCCTGGGGAACAGAAAGGGCTTGAACCTTACATCAGTCCTGCTTACAGCCCTGGTGGGAGGGAGAGTGGCCTGGCGGGGTGAAGCGGGCTGGCAGGCCTCGCTGCTGCTTCAGAGCTGAAGGGCCGACCGTCTTTCTTACTGCCCCCCCCGCAATGCCGCCCTTGTGTCCACAGGAAGGGCTGGTGCTTCTTTCATTCCTGCCCTTCTGGAAACTGCTGAGCAAAGAAGTGATTGGGTTCCTTTGATTCTGATAAACTTAGAGTACCCGTAGCTGCCTTCCTAAAATGTGTACGATGCTTTAAGAAACATTCATTTTAGAAATAATTCTTGCAGTCTGCTGACCTTTGGTCTTCCTTTGCACGATCACAGATGGTCCCTGGACAGTTCAGGATGACAGCCTAGGTTGCTGTGGCATCTTGATGTTTGTTCTCATGCACTTCTCAGTTCTGACTGGCACCGGTGCTCTGCCTTCCCTCCTAGGTGAGCCCCAGACGGAGCTGGGGGCCCCTCCGGGAGACCGTTAGAGCAGAACTACTGGGCAGTCACTTCCGGACCCGTGTGTCTGTGAGTGGGTCCGGAGAAGCAAGGCTCGTCTCCTCGTTCAGAGCAGGCGCCCGCAAACTTTCTTTAGACAGAGACAGTTAATTCTTTTATATAAATGTGTTTTTATTGATTTTAGAGAGCGAGGAAGGGAGAGAGAGAAACAGTGATGAGAGAATCATTGATTGGCTGCCTCCTGCACGCCCCCTGTTGGGGATCCAACTGCAACCGGGGCCTGTGCCCTGACCTGCAATCGAACCAGTGACCTCTCGGCTCATGGGTCAGTGCTCAAGTGCTGAGCCACCCGGCAGGGCGAGAAAGTTCATTCTTTACTGCTCACCTCTGCTGTGGTTGTGCAGAACCGTCCAGGCAATAGCAAATGCGGGGCATGGCTGTGCTCCCGGGACTCCTGATCTCGAGCTTCCTAGTTGGTAGAGTGGCTCCCTGGGAGGCAGGCAGGTGTTCAAGTACTTGCATCACCTGTCCCTTGGGGGCACCTGACAGTTCTAGACACTGGCATCTTCACTCCCAGTGAACAGGGTGTAGTCGTGGGCCTCCAGCTCCGAGGACCTTCGGAGGAGCCCCCAATTTCTCATTAATCTTGCCCTCGGCCTTCTAGTTCCCGAGACAGCTGGGATCTTCTGTAGACTAAAGAATGCGCGTTTCTATTTTATTTTTCCTTTTCTCAAAAATGTAAACGCCGGTTCCTGCCTGATCAGGAGGGACTTGGAGGCTTGAGAGGAAATGGCTAGGACCTCAGGCACCCGCGAGCCCCCCGTGCGGTGCTGACCCGGCCCGGCGGCCCCTCCACCACAGGGCCAGGCGGTAACCGGTCACCCCCGGGGTCTCAGGCGGTCGGCGCAGGGCCCTGCCCCTCTCACCCTCCGTCTGGGTGGACAGCCTCCTCCTAGGGCCCCGCGAACCCTTTGCTTCCTTTCCGCCTGAGGCCCCGCGGCGGCTCCGCAGGGTAATCGTTCCCCCCGGGCGCGTTCATTCGCGGGCGCGGTTTTGCACGTCGGGGGCACTGCGCTGAACTCTGCGCTGAGATGCCAGCGGGAGATGTGACCACGAATAAAGCTTTGGAGAAACGCCTGTTTGATGAGCTCCTGTCTCCTGGAAGCGTTTGGCCCACGCGCTGGGGTTTCCCTCGCGCTGCTCCAGGGACGTGAGGGCGGGCGGGGCGGCGCCCATCTCAGCCTGTCGGTGGACTTGGGGCGGAGACACCCGGGGGTTTAAGGGCCTCACTGGTCGCCTGCGCACTGGTCCCCAGGCGCAGCGCGTTCCCAGGGGCGCGGCGCAGGAGGAGCTCGGCTCTGCGGCCTCGGGCCGGAGGAAGCCGGTGTTTCCCACTCGCCCCTCGCTCCCGCAGAGCGCGCGGGGTGGGGTGGCCGGTGCCCTGTGCCCTTCCCTCGGGCCCAGCCGCCTCCATGTGGCACCTGCACCGCCCGTGGACGGTGCTGGGAAGCCCTAGGCCCCGGGGCTCAGCCGGGCTCTGAGGAGCGTCTCCCCGCCTCCCGCCTGGAGGACCTGCGGCGTTGGGCCTGGAGACCAAGGCGCTCTCCTTAGGCTCCGCGGTGCGCCGGGAGAGGCAGGAACCTGGCTCTCTGTGCAGGGAGCTCTCCTAAAGGGGATGTTCATTGTCAGTAAGCAACCAGAGCCGCTCTGACGTAAGCAAAATGGCCCATTGGAAATATGTGGGGAGCTCTGCACCGACAGGAAGGCGGAGGATGGGCAGAGGGGGGCAGGGGGAAGTGTGGGCTGCGCCTCCGCAGGAGCAGCCTGGCCCCTGCCTACCGCTCACATTGCAGGCCGGAGTTTGGCACCTTGAGTTGTGTGCCCACACCGTGGCCTCGGGGGATAGGGCGCCTGACGAGGCCACGGTTCCAAAGGGAAGGGAAGGGATACCGGGTTACCAAACGACCACAGATGAACCCACCGTGCCCCACAGAAAGGACTGTGGTCAGCACCAAGACAAGGCAGGAGGGCAGAGGGTGGCTGCGGAGCTCAGGTCCGTGAAGCCTGAGAAAAGGAACTCAGGTTGGTTTGATCTATGTCAGGAGACATTCAACCCAACTGTGCTTAGATTCTGACACTTGGTCTGAGACCTAGAGGGGCGTGAAGCGGCCCACGTGTGCCCTGGGATGCTCCCCGCCTCTGTAGTCATGTGCCCCATACAAAGATAAGGCCTAGCTTGTGCTCTTGGGCTGGGAAATTAGGACATGGGGACAGAAGTAGATTTACAAGATGACCTGGTCCTAGCTCCTGAGTGTGTAGATCAGAAAACAGGTCCAGCGAGGGAAAGGCACTGGCCCTGGGTCATAGGCCAGGGGCAGGGATTCAGGTCTAGGCTTCCAGGATACTGTGTCACTGCTCTCCCTAGGCCCTTCCCCTCAGCACTGCTGATCCTGGCTCCCTGAGTCAGTCACCACAAAGCACAGTCACATTTTCTGCTACGCCCCCGAGGCCTTTCCTTCCTAGGTCCAGAATTCCCACAGGAGCGCATTCATTTCCAACCTCCATGGTTCCAAGCAAAACCTCAAAAAGAAAACCACAGCTCGGATCTGGAGAGACCCACGTACTTCTGCCATCCTTCAAGGCTCCAGAGGTCCTGGCATAAACAGCCCTCTCCTCTTCCCTGGTGGCATCAGCAGTGCCCTCTCACAGTGGTCTCCCCCCATTCACCCAGATTCCCCATCCCATCGAGAGCTGAGGAACAGCGAGCTCGTGAACAGGATGGCTGGGTGTTCGTAGGAAGTCCCACGCATGCCCAGGGACTTTAACATTTAAAAGAATCACGTTTTACATTAGATCCTCAGACTTTATTTATCTTATAGCTGGAAGTTTGTAGTATTTTACTGATCTCTTCCCGTTTTCTTGACACCCAACCCCTGGCAACCTCCATTCTACTCTTTCTCTGAGTTCAGCTTTTTCAGATTTCACATATAAATGATATTATACAGTATTTGTCTTTCTATGTCTGACTTTGCTCATTTAACATAATGCTTTCAAGATCCATTCATGTTGCCACAAATGGCGGGATGACCTTTCTCATGACTAATACTCCATTGCAATATCCCCGCCGCTTCACTGACGGACGCTCAGGCTGTTGCCGAGTCCTGGCTGTTGTTAGATGTACTGGTGAGTAATGCCACTGGTTCTTAATCAGGTTTTAGCTCAAGGACTCTTGCCAATCTGGGCACATGGGCAGTTTTGCACACAACTCCACATGTCGGTTGACCCCAGAAGCCCCTGCTCTGGGTTAATGATGGGAATGTCAGGCCAGCAGAGGCAGAGAGGAGGTGCTTCAACCACAGGGCTTCTGCTGGCACTTGTCACAGCGTCTGCAGCACTGACCAGTGCTAAAAGCTCAATAAATGTTTAACAAAGGCTGGAAGGCATA